AGCGCCTTATGCCAGTTGCGAGTAGCCCTCATGAAGGCATTTGGCTGCCCTGGCAATTCAAAGGCTGAGGACCGAGAGAGAGGGTGGCGATTGGCCACGCTTGACTTTGTCATGCGCCACTTCCGGGAGGTTGTGGCCCTTCTGGCCATCAACCGCATGTCCCCACGTGCGCTGGCATTATGTCTCACACCCTCTCTCTTCGGCTCCACGGACGATGCCGAGACCAACAGTCAGGTATGCATTACCCAACAGCTGCCCACTTTCACGTCTCTCCATGTAATCCCCTCTTCCTTTACTGGTCATTACCTCATTCTTATGCTATTTTATGTCTGCCACCATCACCATCAATAGGTGCTGGAGCTGCTAATTGAGCACTGGCCCTGGCTGTCACAGTGTCTGCACCGGGGCAGCCAACCGGTGTCCGTAGAGGGTCTGGGCGAACCGGTATCCGATGCCTGTCTCTATGCTTGCCGGTAAGTCTCCAACCGCCCATCTCCTCCTTGCCATTATATCAACTTCATTTATTCTGACATTCATGCTTACTAGGAGACTTGCTTACTTTCTTACTGTGCACTCAGTTACAGTCCAATTCGTGCAGACATTTTAGCCATGCTATACTTCTGGAGGTTTTTGTCCTTGGCTGCCATGTTGTTGCCCTGAGGACTGAAATACGGCCTCCATGACAGCACAGATATTTTTCATTCTAGTCCAAAGCATAGGCTACGCCAATTAATCTAGAGTGCTGTTCAATCTAACGGGTACTCAACCATGGCTCACTGAACACTCTCCCCTTTCTAGATACCAGCGTCATTGTTTTCTGCAGTCCCTGTGCCTTCCACCGACTCTCCCACCGTCGCCGCCGCCGCCGCCTTCAGTCGCCGCCTTTTGTGCTGCCGCGTGTACATAGCCTTCGTTGGAATTATCCTTTGCCCCCCTCCCCCACCCATGTCCCACCCATAATTATTTGTACTATTATAAGCATGATTCTACCTCGTCCCCATTTTTGAACTGTTGGAGAGTATTATTCATTGTTCTCTTGTTTATTCTATTCCACACAATAGACGCTGTTTCGCTGAGCTTCACTTTCCCTCATTCTCGCCCGCGCTAACTCGCAGGATTATATCGCATTTGTTCAGTCCACTCCCCACAGTCGTAATTCACTTGCTTCTTATTGGAATGATTATCCTTGGTGCCGGATTTTGTAATTGTCCTTGTTTTCATGTCCATTCTATTTTACGTAATAAATCTTGTTCTTTTATTCTACACTCTCTCTATCTCTCATCTTGATTAGTTGGACAATGTCTTATGTTAGTGCTGTGTCTGGTCATAGTCTGCAGACAGGAAGTTTATATCAGCTGATGTATCTACATCAGGGGGGGGGAATTTTGGCAAGTGAGACTTGCGTCACAGTGTGTGTGCGAGTCTATGGTTAGTACTGTCACGACGACTGACTGAATTGCGGTAGCATCTCAAATAAGTATGTGGTTCGATTCTGGCAAGGATAACACCAGTGGTTTGCATCCACTACAGTCGGTTATTATTAATATCATCATTACAGTGTGTCGATTTGGCGATAAGTCTCCGATTTGGAAGTGCGCTGTTGATCGGATATGGCTACTTCGGGTGATGGGATTGAAGATCACGGTCTCCAATTGTTAGGCCACGTAGTCAAGCGCGAATCCACAGGAATAGCCACATTCGGGGGCTAGAAATATGATAGAAGTGTATCCGATGATATCCTGCCGGGGATGATGGGTGTGGTACTTGTACATGCACTCGATACGGCTGCGATCATGCCTGATCTAGCTGGCCTCGATCAGGTCCCGAACTGTACCTCTCCACGCGTCACCATCCGCGGCAGCAGATACGTAGAGCTCAATCCATTCCCTTCGCCAACGACGCATACTAAATGCCGAAGGCCCAAGAAGCACCTCCATGTCTTGACGAATTCTTTCGAGTCATGTTCCAAGTTAACGCCTTCCTAGACGCCTCCAATGGGGCAACGGTGCCGGATCGAGCGCAGCAACATTGAGCTCCTGTGGTGGACAACGAAGAACATGCTGAAACTCCCTCAGTCGCCTTTCTTGGATGGCCTGGGATATGTTCGCTCTGTTATCACCGTGAGTACGGACTGTCTCATCTGAGGCGATGTCGGCGTACCTCACTCGAAGGAATGTCGTCAAGCGGCGGTGGTCAAATATCTCCAGTTTTCGCTCGTCCTCCTCGCGCACAGCTCAGCATTCACAACCATGTAGAAGGAGGGACAGATGCGCAGTACACGCGAATCTTAGTGGCGATGATTTCGCGTCTGATCCCTAGGCATTTTCTAATGCTTGAGAAGACCCGTGGGGCAGCATCTATTCCGGAGGAAATATCATCCTTACTCTGCCTTTTCGGCATCAGCCTCCTTCCGAGGTACTCAAAACTGTCTACTTCTTAAAGTTGACAGTCACCAATCCCGAAGGCTACCTTCTTCTTCTTCTCAGGACTACAGCTTGGAAACATTCTAGTCTTCCCAGCGGTTATGCATAAACCAACCGATTTAACGATCTCGTTCACCCGTGACACCATACACAACAGATGACCAAAACGTGAAGCAAGTAAGGCAATATCATAAGCATATTCGAGATCAGTCGGTTGGTGTCCGGGTGCAAATTCAACAGCGTCTCCCTCGTGTAGGGCCTTCCCGAGAATCAAGGCAATAGCTTATTTGAACAGAATGAGCGACGGGATACAACCCGGTCGAACGCCAGACCGATTAGCAAACGGCTGGGAAAGATTGTTGCGTACGAGTACTTGCGTGATGGTGGAGCGATAATACAGTAGGAGGGTTAGCTAATGAAATGCCAAAATGTGTTTTCGTTTCGTAAAGATTAATTAAGTAGGGTTGTAAAACTAAACATCGCGCAGCATAATTCTATCATAATTCAGTTACCTCAGAATTTCGGCTTCCAAATGAACTTACTAACGACTGCATGCAAGAACTATAGTCTGCAAAAATTGACTACATATGTAGCATGCAAATTCTTCATCGATTTTCGATGCCCCATAAAGTCAAATTATAACTTATGTAAAACATCTATAAAATTATCCATTCTTCCGCTCATTTGGTAGACATTTACGTCTTCTTCCAACTGTATACTCGACGAAGGTTATTGTTCGGTTTTCGAAAACATTTCAAATTTCCGAATAATTTTGAACCCGCTCTGCCGTCACGCTTTCATTCAGGGTTTCTAAACTACAACCCATGTATTTTGCGCGTACGAATAACCCACATTTCTCTAAGGTATTGAAGGGAGACCATATGAGGTTCATAACATGTAGCAATGGATTTGATCCATATTGTTAACTTTACAAACCACATTAGTAAATACAGAGACATGACGCTCTAGAAACGACCATTTCACGGTATTAAAAAATCTCACAATTAGGAAGTTTTAGAAAACCGAATTATATCCTTCCATCAAGTATGAAGTTGGAAGGAAACGTCATTTTCTTCCAAATGCGCAAGAAAATGAATATTTTTATGTATGTTTTTCATGTATTCTAATTGAATATTTAGGGGCATCTAAAATCAGGAGAAAAATGCACGCTACGTAAGTAGTCATTTCTTGCGGAGCATAGTTCTGCATGCAGGCGGAAGGAAGTTCATTCGACAGCCAGCATCGTCAGGTAACTGAAATATTATATGATTATACTGCAGGTTGATAAGCTTTACAACCCTATTTAATAAATCATTTCGAAATGAAAACTCATTTGGGAATTTCAGCTGACATTTCACTACTGTAGACCTCGATCATGGCGATTATTTTATCGATACGTCATCTGGTGCCATTATCTGCCACAGGGACGCACGAATGACGGAATCGAACGTGGCGCCAAAGTCAACAAAGCAGACGGCCTTCACTTGCTGGTAGCATAGATAGGGAAAATTGCCTAATAATAATAATAATAATAGCTAATAGTAGTGATTATCTTCGCATTAACGTCCAAGTTGCGTAGCTTTCGTATGATATCGGAGACTTCTGTTTCAGAAGGAGGGACGCATGACACTGCATAGGCAGGAGGGGAAAGAAACTCCTCTGCAGAGGAGAGCAACGGCGTGGTGGGTTGGATATAAAAGCTGAGACGGTGCTCAACGTGCTCACGCTAGAACTCCACTTTGGCTGAAACGTCAACACTAAAGTCGTCATTCACGTTGGGAACAGTGTCACGCAGTGTAAAGGACTTGCCATTAACTTGGTGGATAATTTGTTAGCATTTTCGAGTGTCACCAACGTTCGAGGTCCGTGCAATCGAGGTCGATATTTCAATCCAATATTTTTCCCGGTCATCCCTGTCCGAATTTGCCGTCATTTCTCAAGTTTGGCGGAGCGAATCATCAATACGTAACCTGGCTTGAATCGTCTGAGCAGACAACTGCAGGGCTTTTCTGCTGATCCAATCACTGTGCTGTCGCTACGTATATCCATGGATTTTCTCAGCTGCCCCATAGATTGACGTTTTCGACGGTGACGACCATTGGTTACTGCCTTGTCCGTCCGCTGGGGGGGTCGTAGAACAGGACCGGATTTCTCTGCTCAGGGCCTCCGTAGTGCTGGTTTGCCGCATTTATGCCACATCTAGACGTCTAGGAGGGGACATTTGTGGCGCGGATGAGAGGTAAACCTTCAGTTTTGTTAGAATGAGGACATGCTCCGTCCCATGGGCCATCCAAACTGCGAAGAACATGATTACCTGTGGTGAACTGCGATTGACAAGCAGTCGGTTCTGATCAGCGAATTTCAGCAACCTCACGCCATTTTCACATCGAGATGCAAACACAAAGCGGCCAATAAGATAACTGTTAGGGAAGTCCTCAGGTCCATTTCGATCATTCCAATCCCCGGCAACAATCAGCAGATCGCGGAGAAGGAGTCTTTCAACTAACGCTTGCAACTGAGACTGAAACTCCTCGTTATCGCACAGTTCGACAGCTGAATTAAGTGCGTACTCAGAGACAATGGAGATTTTCGTAAAGTGGTCCATCAGTCGCACGTTTTCCATTCGGTCATTGAATGGTTCCCAAGCAAGTAACGTGAGGTCCCTGTCGAAAGTAGTGTGGTCGACAAGATAAAGATTCCCAATTAAAAGTCAGAGAAGACAGTTTGAGTCGGACAACCTTTACTGATTGGAAAGCGCGTACAGAAGGCTCTGTAGGCAGTCCCCGCGAGCACACACTCCATGCAGGTTGTTGTCTGAGTGCGCCGTCGAGGTGTTGTGTCCCAGCGCCTATATGAGCCCTCCGTTGTCTCCGCGTCCGCCAGCCAATCAGAGCTGGGACAGCGCTGATTGGACTGGATCACTGGCGGGGTAATTGACTAGCCCCGCACCTCCCAACGGCGTATCGACGAGGGGCGTGAGGCGGACAGTAAAGCAGCGTGGTAAAGGCGGAGGGCAAGAAGACGCGAACTGCCACAGTATCCCCCGGTTGGACCGAAGGTGGCGAGTAGTGACGCTGAAGGAACTGTTGATGTCTATAAAACATGAGTAACCAAACGGTCAGGAAAATGAACCTGCGGTCCACTACGGGTGATATATACAGGGGGCACAGGGGTAGAGTGAGTATAGCTCGCGGATGCAGTGTTAATAGAAGCGAAGAGACGAGTCACAGGAAGCAGTCTTGAAGAAGGAGACACGATCGCCTGGACAATAACTTTATTAGCCTGAAGTTTTGGGATTCCTACTCGCATCCATCATCAGAGACACAAAAGCAGTAACTGGTGGTTGTTGCACAAGGGGCTGCGGTATTTATAGAAGACAGCTCCGAACGAGAATGGCCGAACACGCGGCAGCGGTGAGCAGAAATGACGCCAGCTCTCAAGTTGCGGCTCATTCGACGAGATCCGGCCACACATTCAAATTCGATGAGGCCAAATTTCTCGCAAGAGGTGACAACCGCGTGAGCCGGGAGCTACTAGAATCATGGTTTACTGGCCTCCAGTCCATCAACAAGTGCAACGATATTCCGACTCCATACTCCGTGCTAAAACGTCGCCTAGGCGGTGTAAAAAGCCATGCGGGGAGCGCAGAGGTGAACACTTTTCCCAACACCGGGGTCGGTGCATCAGATGGTCGAGCAATCATCACGCCAACATCAAACGCACGTGATGAATTTGCAGCAATTATCGACTAGAATGTCGGCCATCAAGACATGATCACACTAAGTGCGATGATCCCGGATGAAGGGAGGAGCCGTGAATGTTCATAGGTATGCGGTAGCATGGCTACTGCATCCTATAAATACCGCAGCCCCTTGTGCAACAACCACACGTTTCTGTTTTTTGTCTCTGATGATGGATTCGAGTGGGAATCCGAAACGTCAGATTAGTAAAGCTCTTGTCCCGGCGATCGTGTCTCCTTCTTCAAGATACAGTGTTGTTGGTTGATGAAGGGGTAGATGCAGTTGGGGGTTGTGGATATGAGGGCAGAGGAAGTATACGGGACGGAGGGATAGAGGGTCTGGAAGGTGGAGCAGGGGGTAGGGGACCACAGGGCTCATCCGGAGGAGTGTCCTGGACGGCAGCTTTGAGACGGTCCACGCTCACGACCTCCTCGCCAGTTCCACGTTGGATGCGGAAGTTCTACGTCCTACGAGAGATAACTCGGATGGGACAGTCGTGGGGTGGTTCCAGTGGTCGGCGGACTCGATCACATCGGAGATAGACGTGAGAGCATGTTGTCAAGTCTTTCTCGAAGTGAGACTCGGAGACGGATAACCTGGATGGAAGCGGGGAAAGTGTCCGGAGGATTCGCCGGAGGCGATGCAGGAGGTTGGTAGGATCCTCAACAGCAACTCGCGGGGTTGGCGAGATTATCTGACCGGGAAGTCGGACGGTGGCCCCGAACACGATTTCAGCAGCAGCAGAACAGTCAAGGTCCGACTGGAGGGGGGAACGCATGCCCAACATGACTAGGGGGAGGTCGTCTGTCCAGTTCCCCTCCGGATTGTCTGCGACGCGTAGGGCGGTCTTCAGCTGACGGTGAAACCGCTCGACCATCCCATTGGCTGCCGGATAATATGCTGTAGTGCGAATACGCGTATAGCCTTAAAAAGGGAGAAAAGGAGGTGAGATTCAAATTGGGCACCGAGGTCAGTCGTGATAGTGGAGGCGACTAGTCAGAGGTAGGATGGTATCGGCACAGTTCGCGAGAAACCGGCGATAAAAGTTCACCATACCAAGCAATCGTTGCAACTGACGCTTCGAGGTATGGAGTGGAAAGACCCGAATGGCGACAACCTTTGAGGGAAGAGGCCTAATGCCGTGGGAGTCGAACAGATGACCGAGAAATTCTAGGGAGGGCACACCGAGGAGTGGTAGTTGGAGCCCGGAAACATCCTCATCACTGGGTGAACCGACACGGCGTTGTTTAGCGGCCATCTCATTGAGGTCGATCCCAGATGAAAGCTGAAGGTGAGCGATAGAGGGCCTGGACAGTGCGTCAGCCACCTCATTCCTCGAGCTATCAATGTGGCGGATGTCGGTGGTGAATTGGGAAATGTAGTGCAGGTGGCGGATCTCCAGAGGGTTTAGTTTATCCGAGTGGGAACGCATAGGAAAGGTGAGTGGCTTATGATCTGTGAAAATGGTGAACTCTCGACCTTCGAGTAAATGCCGGCAAGTGCCTTACGACAAGATAAGCGGCGAGTTCACGTACAAATGTGCTGTAGCAGGTTTCGGCCTTGGATAGTTTCCTGGAGAAGAAAACCAAAGACACGGTAGAATCTGACAGACTTTGTTGAAGAACCGCTCCAACAGCAACATTGGTGGCATCCACCATCAGAGAAAGTGAGTCAGGAGGGTGGCATCAGCCAGAAGGGCTTATACCTACCCAAATGACGTGAGTGCTGCTGGTGTAAGCTCAAAGGTGCGCTTGGAACCTGAGAGCAGACTGGTCAGAGGTAGGATGGTATCGGCACAGTTCGCGAGAAACCGGCGATAAAAGTTCACCATACCAAGCAACCGTTGCAACTGACGCTTCGAGGTAGGGAGTGGAAAGTCCCGAATGGCGGCAACCTTTGAGGGAAGAGGCCGAATGCCGTGGGAGTCGACCAGATGACCGAGAAATTCTAGGGAGGGCACACCGAGGACGCACTTTGACGGGTTGAGAACAACGCCAAATTGTTGAAGGCGGTCAAACACCGTTGCCAGATACTCCATGTGTTCTTCGGCGGTGGAGCTGACTACCAAAAGGTCGTCCATGTAGGCGTAGACAAATGGTAGGCCTCGAAGCACTCTGTCTACGAACCTTTCGAAGGTCTGGGAGGCGTTACAAAGTCTAAACGGCATGCGCAGGAACTGAAAGAAGCCAAAGGGGGTGGTAACGGCCGTCTTCGAAACGTCCTCTGGGGCTATGGGTATTTGGTGGAAAGCACGGACCAGATGGATCTTCGAGAATACAGACTTGCCGAATAGGACACCGGCAAAATGCTGAAGATGTGGGACAGGGTAGCGGTCCCGAACAGTAAGGTTGTTCAGGGCCCTTTAATCACCGCAGGGGTGCCAGTCACCTGTGGCGGCATTTGGAACCATGTGGAAGGCTGAGGCCCATGGGCTTTCAGACTGACGAATGATGCCCATTTGAAGCATGTGCTCGAACTCGGACTTGGCGGCAGCAAGACGTGCAGGCGCGAGACGGCTGGGGGCGAAAAAACACGGGAGGGCCAATTGTCCGGATGTGGTGAACTACGTCGTGTGGTGGAATAGAAACGTTGAAGTTGCGGCGAGTGAGGCCGGGGTATTTGGTGAGGAGTTGACGAAATGGATTCTCGGGTTCGGGGTCCAAGACGGAGAGTTGTCGGGAAGCGTCGGAGGAGGAGATACCCCGGCCAGTGAGGTTGGTAGTCTGTTCGTGAAGACGTGACTGACGGCAGTTGACCAGAAGATCGAAAGCGGCCAGGAAATCTGCCCAGAGAAAGGCACATGGGATGTCAGCAACGACGAAGATCCTAAGGATGAGACGCCGGAGACC